GTTTTTGGTGTAACTTTAAAACAAAGGACCGTAGATACATGACATTTTCACTGTTTGTTTATATTTGCATTTTCTATACACGATAACATTTTCAAAATATTTTGATTTATTTTGAACTGTTTAGGGACATTTTCCATTTTTTTTTAGTTTTTTTTCTAAAAATATCAATAAAATTTTATTTGTTGGTTGCGAAAGCTTGAAAATTTAATAGAAGGCTCCTAGTATTTTGTTTCAAAGGCAGATGAAAAATATTAAAAATCCTTGGTCACAGTTTTTTTTATAAGCATTTAAAGTTCAAAAATTGACAAAATATGGAAAAATCACGAAAATTAGCAAATTATTTTGAGTTAAGAATTCGTAAAAATTTTTCTTTTTAAATCTAAGATTTGACAATCTAATACAAGATTACTCATAAGATTGTCTACCTTTATCAATAAAAAAATCTCTACCGGAAAGTCAAATTAAATTTTTATGAGCGTTTGAAATTCAAATTTTTACAACATTAGATATTCACTTGATTTCTCATGTAACGATTTTCTTATTTTGTTGTAATTCAAAAACGAATAACTATAGATACATTAAAATTTCACTGAATGTTCAGATTAGCAATTCCTATACACTGTACAATTTTGAAAATATTTCGACTCTTTTTGAGCTGTTTACGGACATTTTCAGTTTTCAATTTTTTTAGTTTTTTTTTCTATAAATATCAATAAAGTTTTATCTGTTGGGCCAAAAAGTGTAAAAATTTAATACAAGGTTCCTGATATATTGTTACAGTAGCAATTGAAAAATATTAAAAATACATAGGCACAATTTTTTTTTATAAGCATTTAAAGATCGAATTTTAACAAAATGTATAAAATTTAAAATTAAATAATTATTTTGTGGTTAAAAATGTATAAAATGTTCAACTTTTATGTCTAAAGATTGAAAATTTAAATCAAGATTCAATGTAAGTAGTTAATTTTGTTACCCAAAAAATGTTAAATACTTTTTATAAGAAATCATTTATTTATAATTTTTAAGAAAAATAACTAAAACTTAATTTATAATATTGATTATAATCAATATTATAATAAAAATTACATTGACATTCTGGCTAACATTTTTATTATTTTATTAATATTAATCTCTATTAATAATCTATATCCAATAAAAAAAAATATTGATTGAACATATCAAATCTAAATAGAAATAAAGAAATCTTTTTTCGGAGAAAAAATCTATACTTAATGAATAATCTAAATATTGAACAAAAAAATATATATAGAATAAAAAATCTAAATTGAATCTAAAGGGAAAATATTTAATAAAAAAATAATGTTACTAATTTTAAAACCCCTATGATTTATTTATTGTTAATTATAATTTATGAGAAAAAAAATAAATTTATGTTTTCGTTACGGTATCTATATTTTTTTAGTTCATTGTATACGCAAATAAATAAAGAGAACATAATATTATAATATTTACTTTTTATAATAATCATGAATAATTATGATGTGAGTAAATTTTATTGTACATATTACTATATTTTTATTTATTGTATTTGTACAGATTATTAACTGTAAATATGTATGTGTACTTAATACTTATGTTAATTTGTTTAATACTAATTTATTGATTATATAGGTGCCTACCTATTTAGTAACGAGAATTATACGATGACTGATCACTAAAGCACGGATTTGTATGTTTTTACATATTTTTTCCTTTTTATATTTTGATTTAACGTTTTAACAATTTTGATGAATCATAATAATTGGAATTCACTACTAAATTTTTATTTTGCATTTTTTTATATACCCCTAAGTATACTTAGGAATTAACTCTCCATCTCTTTGATGTGCAATTTTGCACGTGAAAGTATTTTATGTACAACATCACACATAAATATCTTTCCAAATGTTTAGTAAAGAGATTCATCCTTTTTATTGGTTATTTATATACTTAAATTTGTAATCATAAATCTTTAGAAATTACAATAATAACATGCATTTGAGTTATAACCAGTACTAGGAAAAGAACTACTATTAACAAATGATTAAAGATCATAAACATAATAAATAATTTAAATTTCATTAAACAATTTAACTTGTCAATACAAAATATAATAACCGTCAACCCGGGTGACTTGGAACGATTTTCACCTTTTAACTACTGTAACGCATTCATTATTGATAATTAAATTCTGTAAAAAATCATGCAGTGTCGCACACCTCCAAGGAATAGATTGAGCAAAAAAAAAATTAAGGTCTTAAGTAAATTAAGGTAAAAAAAAAATAAAAAGTGCTTGTTCCAAGTCACCCGGATTTTTGGGTGACTTGGAACATGCGTTTTTTTAAATGCAGATTGCATTTAATCTTTTGTGGAAGGTCACTTGGAACGCTACAATTATTTAAAAAAAAAAAAAGTGTTAAAAACCATATTTTTTCGGTATAATTACCGAAATTTAATACCGTAAATTTCGGTACGTACGACTGCCAGGTATTCGTTTATAATAGTTCCAAGTGACCCACTTTTTTTTTACCTAAAATAAAAACAACCCTGAAAAATGTAAATAATATTATTTCCTAATTCTACTAAGCGATTAACACTAACAACACATTAGGAATTCACTAAAAAATAACAATACCTTGATTTTAGAAGCTCAAGTTACACTTTCAAAGCTCTTAAATTAGGATTTTTTTTACTCAATTATGGTTGTATCACATGGCTTATTGATAAGAGATAGCACATTTTCGATGATAACAAAACGTTTACAAAATTTTCCGAAAAATATTTTTGTGGGGGCAGAATTTTATTTCCCTTATCTAGCATAAAATTAACCGCTGTTATCAAAAAATAACGCAATTGTTCCAAGTCACCTCCAAGTTCCAAGTCACCCGGGAACTAATAAAAAAAGTTAAACAAAATAAATCATAGACAATGATTGAATCAGGAAGCATGATTAATTATTACCAAATATTTTATTTATTTGAACATCAATTTATCTTAATGTATTTACAAAGTCAATGGGTGTTTATTTTTTGAATTTAGACATTTTAATTTATAAAATATGTAATCTTTATAACTTTATGAGCTTTAATGCTCTGAATTGTAGTTTTTTGAGCTAACACTCGTCCTAATTAACTTTCTTTTAAATCAGAAAATGTACACAAAATTCTTCCCATATTATAATAACAAATTGAGGCCCATACAAGCATAACAATTCAATGCACTTAGAACATAACTGTCTTAAAACTATAAAAAAATTAACTTACAACATCTAATATTTATTAGCTTAATGCTTCGAAAGTAAATTATAATATAAGGAATATGGCAACTTAAGAAATAACATATTTTTAACTTATTCCTAAAAATGTGTATAATATATTATAAACATTGTGATTAGAAATAATGTGATATAAATAAAAAGTATAATTTTTTTGGAACATTTCTACTTTACCGGGCACCCTTTTTTTTGCAATTTTTTTTTTGGAAACTTATGTAGTTAAGTAAGCTGAAAACGATGGTGAAAACCGAATTTGGGGCACGAACTTAGTTTTGAAGTTATGGCCTAATGAAGTTCACTATTTCGCGATTTTTACGCATTCGCGCATCACACTAGTTTACTACGACTATTTCGAAAACACCACTATATACCAATTATTTTTATCTTAACGACATTCATTAAGATAATATAACAAATAATAAATGTATTTTGAGCAAAAACAATTTAAATATGAGATTACAAAAATATCTAAAACGTTCCAGTATTGCACTTGTTATATAAGAAACTAGGGTTTTTTTCTAATATCTTAAATTACATTTTCTTTAAAAATATATTAGAATGAGTGTCAAGAGTTTAAATTTATATGACTTAAAAGAACTGTCTCTTCAAAACGAAGGATTGGCATTAATAGAAATGCTCCAGAATTTTGGTGTATTACATAATGCACCGAAATGCATAAGAGGGCATAAAATGACATTAACACGCGAAGAAGCGTCTTTGGATAAATTCAAATGGAAGTGCAGGGGAAAACAAACTAACAAAAAAAAAACTTGCAACTATAGGTAAATATTAAAACTAAATTAAACACTACATTATAATTACTAAAATTAAAACTAAACTAAATTATGTTGAAAGACATCGTACAGTGATGCCGTGCTAGCGGCACTCGTCGCTACGCTCCTCGGCGCCGTCGCTCCGCTCCGCAAATCGAAAATATCCCCCGACTTGCTGTGCAACACCACCTTAAGTTGGTCACAGGGTAACCACAGGTTAACCAACGTACAACCACCTTATCATTTTTCGGACAACTGCCAGCCACGGCACAATCACAATCAAAATAAGTGAAAAAAAAAATCGCGAAATAGTGAACTTCATTAGGCCATAACTTCAAAACTAAGTCCGTGCCCCAAATTCGGTTTTCACCATCGTTTTCAGCGTACTTAACTACATAAGTTTCCAAAAAAAAATTGCAAAAAAAAGGGTGCCCGGTAAAGTAGAAATATACCATTTTTTTTAACACAAATATCTGTTATTATATACAAATTTTTAGTCAACATAAAATAATTGTCGGATTCATTTTATTTTATTATTTTAATTAACAGCTATATTTCATGTGCAGTATCCAATTTTTCACACCAAATATTGGTCAGTTAAACTTTTAGAGTACACAATACTCTTTTTACTTGAATTAGGTTTGAAGTAGGGATTTGACTAGAAACCATGAGCTCCGAATGTGGGGATGTTGCTTCTAACTGATATCTGAGTGAACAATGAAGATGTTCTTTTTGTACAAAAAATAACATCTTATGGTTTTTTTGGAGTCACATTTAAATATTCTGCACATGGAACAAAGTTTTGATTTCAAATATCCAAATTTTCCATGGTTTCTTCTAAAATGTAAAACATAATTGAATATTTTTTATAAAGTAACTAAATTATATAAGAAATTAATTTTATTTTAAAAATATACAAACCTGTGTCTTTTTTATATTTTTCTTAGAGTTCAGATTTTCACTGAAGATTTTCTTGATTTATACCAAAGTGTTGGACAAATTGAATATTTTTCAAATTTTTTTTGTTCATGGGTAAGTATTGACCACACCATTGGCATTGAATTACTGCTTGTTACCAACTTGAAAAATAAATACAGATATATATATAAATGAAATAAATCTACAACAATAACATATAATTTAAATTAAAACTATCATACGGTTTTATAAAACCACCATAAAAATGTATCTTCAATTTCTTCAATACTATAAAAATATCATTCATATGTCTTTATCTTATTAAAATAAATATATCATAATTATAAATATGAGAACAATATGATTGTATCAAAAATATCTTCTTTACTCAATGAAATATACATTAAAATTGTTCACTTATATTTAATTGTATGAATTCTTTCATTTTGTAATATTTATTCTTTATTATATTTATTAATAAATTAAGACACTAAACCCTAATATAAAAATGGTGAAAAAATATAAGATGAATTCAACAGTAAGTGACAACTGTCATAATAATGTGGGATCATATGATAAAAACATTTTATTTGATAATATTGTTAGTCATACTTATTCAGTATTTATAAGTACCTACCTAATTTATAACTTCAATAAAGTATATATTGTATACATATATTGACACATAAATAATAATCTAGATAATTATATATAATATATAATATAATATGTTCATTATCGTCAAAGTTTATTAGACCACATACCAAAAATAAAAATCACACAGAAATAGATAAAATTGCTTCAGCCTAAATAATACATTTTTAAGTACCAATGAATAAAATATATAAAAATAAATAACAGAAAACTCACTTTAGTACTTGTTGAATCTGCACACCAGTCTGAAGCTTTCAAATCCATTTTATGAAATTTCTTATCATATTTGTTTATTTTAAACATTGGATTTATATTATATGGAAAATCTGTCAACCAAATATAGCCGCCATTTTCCCGACAACCACTAAATAGATAACGGCCGTCATGACTAATACTAATTTTGGAGAACCAAGTTCTATTTAAATGACCATAGTATTTGCATATTGGATCTAAAAAAATAATGGTACAAATATATTATTATACTTGGATAATATTTATAACAATATGCATATTAATTATATAGTTATAATTTTATAATAATTTTTATATTAATTAATAAGAGGATAATATCAGTACACTAATTGTTTTCTCTCTCTGACCCACCCACAACATAGCAAATTTACATTTAGCAGAACCAACCCTGTGTTATTACTTTTAATATTAGAGTGAATTCACCTATTATTAAAATTTAAGTTAAGAACATAACCTGTGTCTCTACGTTGGCTATTTTATGATATTTTTATTTTTATGTAACTTATGAGCCTGTACATTATTACTATTTAAAAATTCTACTTGTATAAAAATTAAAATCCTTTAAGAAAGATAAAATAGATACAGAGGTTAAATTTTAAGCCTAAAGTATGATGATAGGTGAATTCACTATAATACTAATAGTTACAACACAGGGTTGGTTCGGACAAACTTAAATCACCTTTGTTGCACATGGGTTGGAGAGAAAATAAATGGTGCACTGACATGCTCTTAGTTAAAAGCGGCTAAGATCAAAAACATATAAAATAATGTACTAAGCTATTAAACCTATAATCACTAATAATATGAAATTTAATAAAGGATATAAATAATATACTTGTTTCTGTAGAATCCAATGAATAACAGTAAATAACATTATTTATACCACTCGCATACATTAAAGTAGATTGAGGATTTGTTATTATATTTATATAACCATAAATTTTTATTGGCATTGTCATTTCATTAAAATATTTCATGAGTGGTTGATGTTCTTTATTACCGTTTACTTGGCTGTAACTTTTACGTAAATCCCATAAATTTATGTATCTAAAAAAATAAGTATATATGAATATTTTGTTGAGTAGATTATGTATTTATCATAGAGATGGATAAAATTACTGGAGTGTGGTACCCCCTATATCCACATTGTAAAAAAAAACAGTCGGTTGTTAGTATGAGCATTAGATAATTACTACGTCTGATGATTGATGCTCTCACCACTACTATAAGACAAGAACATATTAACCAGTTGACCATTTTTGGTGAGTAGTATGCATTCTGGTTTTCTTATATATCTCTATGGGATTTACTTTATATTCATACTTGTTATTTCATTAAAATATAATAAATAATACTAACTGGTCCATGGAACAACAAGATAAAACAGTTTGATCAGTTTTAAATATTACAGAAGATAGTCCAACACTTTTTTTTGAGGTAATCTTGTTTAATCTTGTTCCAGAATCGCCTAAAATATAGTAGGAAAAAATAAACTATTTAATACTTTTAACATTTTGTTGGGAGTTTGTAATTTGTATGTTTAAATTTAGATCAGTGGTATAGTTAAAAAGACTTGTTGAATATAAATAAAATTAACTTTTTGCTTTTGATAATCATTGTATTAGTAAGCAATTAAGATAATAAATAAAAGAAATAATTATCAGATTTTTGTTAAATAACATTTAAAACCAAAAAACAATAGAACTATTTACTATAAAGTGTATTAGGTATAATATATGCTCACACTCCAAAACGATTCGATCATTATTTAAACGTGCATCCCAGATTTTTACTGAACCATCTTGGCATCCAACACAAAATACATCTATAAATAATATAAATAAATTACAATTTTCAATTTTATTATTAATTTATTATATTAATTATGTTGCTTTAAACTCAAAGGAGTATATTATTTGGATAGCAATCATTTTTCAAAATGTATCACCTTCTATTATTTAAAGTGAATAAAAAATTGTGCCTAGATGTTTTGAGACAAAACATTTTTGAAATTTTCAATTATTTTCATTTAACTTGGGAAAAATATTGAAACATACCAGTTATAGACAGATCACAAAACTATTAATGTAACTGTTAGTAATTTTCTCTGTCTATGCTATACAGCTGACATCATCTTAACTATATTTGAATACAATTATTTATCATTGGTTTAAAAATATATAAACTAAATATTTAGTCACAGAACTAACTTCTGCAGAGGAGTATAAAAAAATATATTACATCATTATGTAGGTATGTCAAAAAATACTATAACATTTAAAAATTATAAAAATGTATCTTAGCTAGTAATATTAGTACAATTTATTTTCACCATTATACATACCTGAAGATCCAGGGCAAAACATAACACTTTTAACAGAAGAATTATGAATAAATACTCTTTCTTCAGCGAGTACCCCTGATGGGCTTAAATTACATAATTTTGAAATTCCATCTCTACAGGCCGTTATTAATTTCATTTGTGGCTCAGCCCATGCAAAGTCAAAAATAGAAGAGATGTGTACAGTATCTATTTTTTAAGAGAATTACAATAAATTACAATAAATACAATTGTATAAGACATTACAATATTATAACTTGATATTATACGTATATTAATTAGTGGGTACAACGTTTTTTCAGTACAATTAATATAAATTAAATAGGCATCAATGTGGTTTGGTATCCGTTTGTTTTAAATTTTTTTTTTTTAATGTGCGAATCTCAAAGTTTTGGTCTTCTTAACATGTGATGTTATGACAAAAAAAAAAAAAAACAAATGTGGTAACCTCATTAAAATTTTACTATGAATTTTAAAGTACCTATATTGTTTACCCTAATAAAAATACATAACAATCTTTTTCGCACTTTTATATCAAATCCCTCAAAATACAGTAAAAAAAAAAAATTTAAAAATGATTATTACCTATTTGCTTGCATTTGTTCCAAAAATCACATAATATAATTTCATAAATAAAAAAAATTGAAACCTTGAACTAATTAAAAAGGTTTAGAAAAAGTTTAATAGGTAACTGATTTTAACTTACGTCTTTTAAACTCTTTGTTCTGGTCATTGTAATGACCTATAGTATTTTGAACAATTATTTCTCCGTAATCAGTTGAAACACCAACTATGTGTAAATTGTTTTTGTTCCTACTGAACTTACAAGCATAAGTTTTTCCAACACAATATATATTGTGTGTGTTATCATTTGTTTGAGGTATATAACCCATTTGTCCAATAAGCATGTCACTCAATTTGCTTTTCAATCCTTTAAATAAATAAATAATAGAATAATGAATTGTTAAAAACAACAATATTTATATTTAAGTAAGAGTATATAAGTAAAAGTCCAATATACTGAAGGGAGTTATGATTTTATCGTTGAGGTTATAGGAATTAAGGTACTCATTTTTTAATCTATATTAACTATCTATAAACTTAATAAAACTGTGCTTAAAAAAGGTTACTTTTATAAATTTCAGAATAGTAAGAAAAACATAAAGAAATAAAAACTAACATAATATTAGACATTAACAAAATCATGACACTTAATGAAGAAATCAATATTTTTAGTAAAATTATTTAATAAAAATTGTTTTCTAATGCAATGGTTTAACATTATTTTAAAGTGTAAAGCTAGCCAAATTATACTCAATATTAGTCTATCAGGATTATCAGTGTTATTATTCAAAGGTTGTTGAATGTTGATACAAGTAATTTAAAAATTATTACAATTAAATAATTGAGACTTAAAAAAGAAAAATAATACTAGATAGTATAGCTTTTCTGTTAATGGTTGAACAGTATTTCTACATGGAGATCGGAAAAACGGCAAATGAGTTACAAAACTTAATAATAAAACTTACCGGTATAGCCAAGTTGTCTTTTCTCCATATATTTGAGTACATTAATTGAGTCCATAATTCCACGTGTGTAAAATGAATCATAGACTGATTAAAACCAGGAAATAATGACCAGCATTAAATACGATTATTCGGGATTTTGGCAGTAGGTAATGTTCCTAAACATACACGAGGAGCAACAACTGACACGGTTGTTCTTGAAGCTGCTACATAATCATACTACTAATTAGAAACAACTACTACTAATGAACGATTTTCCAGAGTCAATATTTGAGAGAAGACAGAGAGAAGGCAGTTTCTCACTCCCGCAAGTGGTGATTTTGTTAGGTTATGTTCAAATCACGGACGTATGTACCAAGATTAAAGATATACAGGTTGCACATCGCCCTATAGTAAACCGCTTCCAGACTGATTTACAAAGTGACTATAAAAATCAGCTGTTAATAATTAACTAGTGGCGCTTAATGTCAACACTCAACCATATGTGTCGACATTTAGAACTAATTTTACACCTATATATCTATAATTGGTTAATTGTAATACTGCCGCTTGGAGCGCCACTGGTTAATTATTGGTAGTCATTTCGTATTTCACCTTATCAGTAGTCGATGTGCAACCTGTATATCTTTAATCGTGGTATGTACTTAGATCATATACTATGGATGGAGCCACTGCATATTATTTTGAAGCCGATATTAGCGACGAGTCACCGAATTAGGTGATCGATATGCGCATGCGCGAAACAACTCGTTTAATATTAATATTATAACTGTCCCCATCCCAGCCGAGTCACAGAATTAGGTGTTCGATATGCGCATGCGCAACGCAACCTCTCGCATATTTATCAGCTGGTGATTATAATATTAATATTAAACGAGTTGTTTCGCGCATGCGCATATCGATCACCTAATTCGGTGACTCGTCGCTAATATCGGCTTCAACTTTTTGTATTGCTATAATACGCAGTGGCTCCATCCATAGTATATGATCTAAGGGTATGTACAGGACTGGGCACGAGTCGTTATCAGTGGAAAATTAGTGTCACCCTCGGGACCACAGGAATACACATTGCGCCATCTATTTGTGTTATATTTAATTGTGAAATTATTTAATTATTTTTATTTTTATTTTCATTTTTAATACTGAAATGGATGTATACCACAGACGTCCATTACGTATATTTAAAATATTTATGAAAATTTTCGTTTTAAAGTATTAAATTTACTACCAAATACTAACGTCGTTTATAGTATTTACTCCTACGCATACACATATACATTACATATGTACTTTGTACGTCCCTGTTATTACTATATTAAGGTTATCACCTTTTAATTTGAATCATTTTTATGTATTTTGTTCTTGTGTGCCAAATATGTTATGGGAGTAGTACTTCGCTTAAGTGTTAAATGCCATGGTTCAGAATTATTTATATCAGCTGGTGGTAACATATTGTCCTCGATATCAATCTTAAATAAAATGTTTAATTTAACATTTATCTACTCAGTATATTTAATTTAAGTTATTTTTCTGAAATTGGGTACCTGTGGTATAGCATCTGGTTTTAAATTTTTACGTTCCATTTGTAGCTAATAATAAGAAGAATGAAATAAAATAAGTTGTGACTTATATAGTTATCCAATAAATTAAAAAAATATAAATATACACCTACAATATCGCTAGCTTTGAAATGTTTTTCACATAGCCTATGTGAAATTTTATTTACATACTTTGTATTTATGGTCTGCAATAATGAAACCCATTTATCAAAAAAGATTTTTTGTTTTGGAAATCCAAATCTACAATTAATTAAACAAATTGCAATTTAATCATTCTAATTCCTTAGGTATAGTAATTAGAAATATTTCCCACAACTGTTCTATTAACGATTAAATGTATAATTTTAATACTACTTACGAAGATATGTTTTGTCCCTTTTTTGACCCACAATGGGGAAAACAACAAAACTGTACCATATTTATTTAATTAAGGATAATAAAATAATAACAAAATAGCAATACTGAATAATTCATTTACATTTTATTTTACATATTATATATCATATATTATGCAAATTAATACATTAAGATACAATTTTTGGAGGGAAATCTCTTTATGTAAATAAAAAGGTTTAATATATTTATAACATGGGTGTAAAAGATACACACAATATTATTAGAATATTATAATATAATTAATGTTGATAGAAATAAAATGTATTTTGAAATAAACGACTAGTTGCTTTATTGTCCGCTAGATGTCAGCATAGACCATAGTGGGACCACAGGCGTGGCACTAATTTTCCAAAGGCTTATACAGTAAAGAGCGTTCGTGACCAGTCCTGTATATACGTCCGTGGTTCAAATATAAAAATTAAAACAGATAACATACTTTGCCTTGTTCATAGATCATATCTATATTATCTATGTTTTGTTCTGTGATAAACTGATAGCATTAAATTATTATCTATCTATTGCCTTTTATAACCTCAAAATATTATTAATTCCCATTTAAATTAAATCCATTCTTCTATTATCTATGCATATTTTATACTTCCCCAGACTTGGAAATAAAACTAATATCATGGAATACTCATGGACAAAAAATGTTATTCCCACTACAATTATATAGTAATTTTACTGTTTCTGTCAAGTCTGGGGAAAAGTGCAGTGATAGGAAAAATTGTTTTTTTGGTGATCATGCATGTTTACTTAGTCATGAGTCGAAAACTCTAAATGTCACATAAATAAATTCTTATAACTTATAACTAGTAACTAATTGGTCTAATCCACATCTTTTGTACTCATATCGGTAAAATTCTAGGTCGTACTTTTTAATCGTGGTGAATCCGGTATCTAATGATGAGCGATAATATTGATAAATGATAACTGCTGTCGTAGTTTTACCGTACCGTGGTAATCTAAAAAAAAAACTGCACGACGATTGAATAAGTAGCTTAGGAGTTTATCCCGAACAAAAAAACGCTACTTCGTTTTATATACCTAGTAGTATAGATTTTGCGTGATTCAATAAGTTATTTGGCCCTCAACAGGGATAAAGATTTTAATAAAAATTATCAAGGTCGACTTTTGCTCACCTTCGAATCTCAAAACACTAGGTATAGCCGTGAGTCGTCGATGTGAACGCAAAAAGTAAATATTTCGAACGCATAATAATCATACAAAATTTGACATTTAAAAATGTCGAATAAATTGAAAGTTAGTCGTTTTTATAATAAGTAAATGTGGTTTTCGTGAGCGCATTTTACAATTTCGATTTTTGGTGCTCATAAATCTTGCTCGTATGATAATAACAATAATATATTATGATGACTATTATAATTAGGGACCGGATTTATATGCAAATGCGTATCCGTATTGGTTCCAAGCTTTTTGAAATCCGATGAGAATTGTCTCTGTTCCATCATATAAATATGGTATGACTGATGAATATTGGCACCGTGAAGACGTTTAATTTGATATGCCAAGTACTATTTTATTTCGGTAAAAAAATATTTACCTGTAAATAAATAATTGGTAAATTTCCCGGTAATTTACCTTACCCTACGACGTAGGTCATAATATTTAAATTTTTTTTCTATCCAACAATTACATTCATTGAAATGGGGGCCTGAATTTACATTAGGGTGGCTTAGCCCCCCCAACCCTATTTGCGCTTATGTTTATAGTGCATATTATTATTTATAGCACATATATTTATTTTTTGTCGTATTTTCACGTTCACAACCACATAATATCGAAAATATTACGACCAGTCTTTAATGCCAAAAAAAATATGACATACTCATGGGCGTAAACCAGGATTAATTCAAGGGGGGGAGGGGGTCCAAAAAAATGTATTGAGCTACTGTTTTTCTGTTCTTTTTTCTGACTATATACATATATTTTATTTATTTATAAACACGATTTGCTGGATTTAAGGTCAATAATAATAAAAAAAAAACATAATTATATTATTTACATTTTAGATTTTGAGCGAAGCAATGAATGTATTGATTTTACAATTATGTGTGTTTTTTTTAAATTTTTTCTTTATTTCTGTGCCTGTCATCGTGGTTTGGGGCAGTAAAACTCCTTCGATTTTCTTCAAGAGTATTTTGTTCGATGGGGAAAGGAATATAATTGGTGTATTCAGGAGGAAGTTTTTAAAATTTTCAATAGTTTTCAAAAGCGCTGGGAAAAACAACATAAAAATGAAGGAAAAACGGGAAATCGATTTTGGTTTTTGGTGTAACTCTAAAACATAGAATTTTGAAGGTTTGTTTGTTTTCGTATTTTCTATACATGATAAAATTATAAAATAGGATCATTTTCAGTTTTCAATTTTATCAGTCTTTTTTTCAATTAAAGTCAATACAACTTTATTTGTTTTGTAAAAAGCTTTAAAATTTAATATAAAGCTCCTACTATAATGTTACAATGACAATTGAAAAATGTAAAAATCTTTAGTCAATGGTTTTTTTTATACGCATTTAAAGTTCAAATCTTGACGAAATACGGAAAATCACGAAAATTAGCAAACTATTTTGAGTTGAAAATTCATAAAATTTTTTTTTTTAAATCTAAGATTTGAAAATGTAATAAAAGATTATTCATAAGTTTGTCCACCTTTATCGAAAAAATAATGTCCACAACAAATTAAGTTAAATTTTTATGAGCGTTTGAAGTTCATATTTTTACAATATTGGATATTCACTCTATTTCTCATGAAGTGTTTTTGTTATTTTGTTCTAATTAAAAATCGAATAACTGTAAATAGGTACATGAAAATTTCACAAAATGTTTATATTTTCATTTTAATATTGTCTTTGTTTTTGAGTGAATATCACTTGATTTCTCCTGTCGCAATTTTGCTATTTTTATATTCAAAATCGAATAACAGTAGATACATGAAAATTTTACTGAATGTTTATATTTTCATTTTCTATACACCATACATTTTTGAAAATATATTGACCCTTTTTGAGCTGTTTATGGACATTGACAGTTTTAAATTTTTTTAGTATTTTTTTCTTTAAATATCAATACAATTTTATTT